CCTCAATCCCCCGGCTAATTCTTCACAAAAGGGGTGCACCGGCCAAATTTGGAAGATGTTTGAGTTTACGGCTAAGCGAAAAAAAAAAAGGCGAATTTCTGACTTAATATGAAAGTAAGAATACTCACGAATTTTTCTCGATGAATGGGAAACGCTTTTTTGGTAATATCTGCACAAAAAAAAACCCCCCCCCCCCCCTCTCCCCCCATTTATTCTGATACTGCCGAGGAACAAGCATTTTTTGGAATATAGTTTCTTCAAGAAAGGATGTTAAGAACTTGGAAATAGTTTAAGTGAATGATAAGACAGTTCTTGAAATCGGCTTTCGCATTATATGAAGAATTATGCAGACTCGGAGGGTGTTGTTCCCCTTTGCCTGCGGCTGGATAATACACTCTCGATCTGCATAACTCTTCATATGATGCGAAAGCCGAATTCAGTAACAACTAAAGTATATCTTCATTTTTAGTCAAAACTCAAGCCGTGGCAATCTTCCCGCTTAATGGTGCTATTAGAGGCAAAGATATTAGTCTTCTTCAGAATCCGCGTGGAATACTACGCAACGTAAGACCGGCCCCAGGCCCTGACCTAACCCGGGATGGATCATACCAGTTCTACGGAAGAAGCAACAGTTATATTCTTTTCCCTAACAGAGGTGGAATGGACACGAAAAGGTCCATTACCCTATTGGCGTGGATTTACCATCAGGGGCGTGCGGGACCAATTTTTAACTATATGCCGAACGGCTGGGGCGTGCATTTCTGGATGATTTCACCTAGAACGCTTTTTGTACGATTCACGCGCCGCCGAGGACGCCGCTTCACCAGAGCGGTAATTAGTAGGACAGTCTCGCCCAACAGATGGCAGTTTGTTGGTGCCACGTATAGTCAAAAGACCGGCGTTGCAAAGTTGTTTGTAAATTCGAGGTTTGTCGTGCGAAAGCGCATTGGAAGAATAAGACTAGCGACCAACTATCCCGTCAGGATGGGGGCACGCATTGGAGATGGGAGATACTTTCGAGGACGAATATCCTGTATGCAGGTGTACAATGGCGCACTATCTCGCTTTCAAATCAAGACTAAAAAGCAAAGATGTTTTAGAAGTAAGTCATTTTTTTAAAGACATTTTGCCATAGTTTATAGATTTAAGTTACTCTTTCTTTTTTTTTTTCCTCTAAATTTAAGGAACATAGACATAAACACTGATCTCAGGTACTGCTGGCCATCTTGGTATAATTTCTCAAAAGACCTCGGTACTTTATTTTCGTCGTTTGAGTCAGTAAAACGGACAAGCCGCATGATCGACGATGACCAGTACAAAATATGGATCTACAAGCTTTAGCAGAAATCCCCCTCTCTGTGTTTTATCGAAGCTCTATGCTGGAATTTTGTACAGTAACAATGTTTTCGTTCTTCCTTGCTGTGATAGAACCCACACGTCCTCTCCCCAGGCCCAGGCCTAGACCCAGACCACGACCGAGACCACTGCCAAAGCCAAAGCCGAGACCCAGACCTAAGCCTGGACCAGGTGACAATTTTAATGTTGAGTCTTTTTAACCGTTCAACCACTGACGTATAAGAAACTCTCCATTTTCTCCTCCAAGATAAACATTTTCTTTTTTATCTTCCTTTGTTTAGTTTAGTTTAGTTTAGTTTAATTTTAGAGCGTTGGTAAATTATATCATTTGCCCTTCAGTTAGGACGCCCCAAAAATGAAATAAAGAAACTGGCACTGTTAACAGAAGTCGAAGTCTTCTTTTATGTTTTCCTATTGATAGCGTCATGCGTGGCTCTCCCATTTTGTTTTTACTTCTAATTTTTTTCCTTGTTAATATGTTTTGTATTAGTGTGTACAGCATCAATCGACCTTGCCTTCCTGATTGATGGTTCTGGAAGTGTCGGTGTAAAGAACTTTCGCCGCTGCCTTGCATTTGTCCAGAACCTCATCAGAGGATTTAAGATTTCACCTCGCTACACTCGCGTCGCAGCAGAGGTTTATTCTTCCAGTCCGCGTAGAATATTTCCATTCACACGCTACAGAAATGTGTACCAAGTGTTAAGAGCCGTTGGATCCATAAAATATCCTCATGGAGGCACCAAGACAGGAAATGCTCTTAGGGATGTCAAAAGATATCTGTACCGTGGAAGATGCAGACGAAAGAGGGTTCTCATTGTATTGACTGACGGACGATCACAAGATGCTGTCCTTAAACCATCACGGGCGTTAAAACGCGCCAAAGTTGATATTTTTGCTGTCGGCGTGGGTCGGGGCTACAGTGTGACGCAGTTAAATGAAATAGTGACCGACCGAGGTCACGTGTTTACGGTTGATTTTCGAAACCTCAACTCCATCATTAAGGCCATTAAAAAGAAAGCTTGCAAAGGTAAGCAATGATGTATTTTTGCGGGCCACTTGATATACTAACTGATAGTACTGAAAATGTAAGGATTACTAGCGATGCGAAGTTCGTGATTGTGAAATAAGACTTCACTGGCTTATTAATCCACCAAGTGGCCTGTCAGATCACAGTTTTTTGCGTTTTGTGTATCATTATGACACTTAGTAATTCCTTCGTTTTGCATTCTTATTTTGTGTTTCAATTAATACTTTAAATTCTTCTCTTGCTATTTTAAGGAGGACGAAAGCCACCAGCTCCACACAGACCGTCAGGTATGGCTCGTTGACAATTTTCCTTTGGTTTTTCCTCTTTTTTCTTTTTTTTTTCTAATGGCAGTGGCAGGATGTCTGACTGAGGAGGCAAAATTCCCATTCTGAGGAAGAGAACCAATTAAAATGTTAAAAGCTTTCTAAACTTCTCAAGGGCTCATAATTTCTTTTCAGGAACACTACGAGCCGTTGCTGTGTACCCGTTGAACGTCCTCACTAAGTCACGTGACATCAGTTTTAGCAGAAATCCACCAGGTATTATGTCTTATGTTCGACCTGCTCCAGGCCCTGACGGACGGCGTGGGACGAGCTTTGAGTTCCATGGACAAAGGAATAGCTTCATAGAGTTCCCAAACAACGGTAAACTAGACACGCGAAAGTCCATTACCATTCTAGCTTGGGTGTACCATTTGGGTCGAGCAGGACCAATATTTAACTACCATCCAAAAGCTTGGGGTGTTCATCTTTGGATGATTGGCCGTCGGGCTCTGTTTGTTCGTTTTACAAAACGTCGAACGCGAGACTTTACAGCTGCTTTGGTGAGTAAGACTGTAAAACCCAGCCGCTGGCAGTACGTAGGCGCGTCTTACGATCATTCAACTGGAACTGCCAAGTTGTTCGTCAGTGGTAGACTGGTGGCGAAGAAGCGTGTCGGA